AGAGGTCAGAACATTATACTCTTAACATCCTCCTTCCAAAAAGCCAGTTAAAATTGTTATAATATGCAGAACTGGACTAACTGAAAAACTGCTGGTCAGCCCAGCACACTGTTTTATTGAGCTGTACAAGATGAGTTGGGAAAAAGATGTAGTTAATTCAACTCTACAATTTAGCTCTCCATCTCTCTTCAGCTTTGTCACCAACAACACACTCTAGGTCCCAACATCTCCCCACTGGCTTTCATTTCAACAGATGGAGAGTGTGACTGGCTATCCACTCCTCTTACACCCGCCCCAAGGGATGAATTGGTTATATCAACTCCACTATTTGAAACATTTCTGAGTAGGAACAACTAGGCAGAAAAATTCAGGTTCATAAATCTGATTTTATATGTGTAACCTGTAACTGAACACTTGTTAGGTAAACAAAAGTAATTACTGTAAGCTATGTCTTACTAGTGTGACTGATGCATAGAAACATTAGATGGAGGGAAGGTGAGAATGAATGGAGACTGGTGAATTACATTAAATAATTGTTCTATCTAATATTCAAAGTTGACTTTCTGAGCTTACCCTCTCCCATAGTAACTACATTAACAGGCAGCGTTCCTAGAATGGGAAAGACAATAGAACATGTTTCTAGTAGCACCAGTTAGGAAACAGGCACCTCCCTGTTCCCTTAGTGAGAAGCCAGTGTTGGTCACCTGTGAATACCTTTAAGCAGTCTGCACCATAATTGAGAAGTATACTCAAGGTGCAATTAGATTAGAACTCTGAATCAAAAACCGTATAAAATTGTTGTTAAAAACATGTTGCTTATGTGGCTGGTGTGCTCACTGGGGTAAAAAAAAATCTTAAATTGGCTATAACAGAAGAACTGATAACACAAATGATCCTACAAACTACACATCCGTTTATTAAATATAATTAGCACACTCCATGCAAGACAAGTATGCAGGAAATTGTGCAATTGCTTTGAGGAGGAAAGAATAATTGAAGGTACATAGCCAGGCTTTGGAGAGTGCAGATCCACCACAGACCACCACCTAGTGCTCCAACATCTAGTTGACACACACATGAGCAAATGCAACTTAACGTGATTTGTAGAATTTGTGGAATTCTACAAAGGCAGCTTTTGATTCAATTCTGAAAGCTCTTGTTTGGAAAAACTCAAGAACTTTAATGCTTGACAAAAGATTATTACTATTAGGCTATAAGCTGTATACCAACATTAGACTTAAAGTAAGATGTTGGGCAGTTTTCCAACTTGATCTCAACAGCAAACCAAATAGAGCAAGATGCATGTTGGTTCCATTTTTGTTTAGTGTCTATGTAAGTTCACAGTTAAGATGCTTTCAAAAACTTGATAAAACATGCATCAAAACTGGCAAAAAAGCATCTGCTGCTATCTTGCTCCATGTAGATAATGCCACTATTCTGTCACTGACTCAAAGTTACTTAAGGAGAGCTCTTAAGGCCCTTGTACAACACTGCAAAAACAGCCGGTGGCCATCAGTTATTGAAAAGGTTTTGGTCTTTTCTACCAGACATAAGACTCATAGTTGGCACAAAGAAAATCCACCAATTGAACCAGTTGCCTGTTTCGAATCCCTAGGAGAAGTCTTTCAATCCTCTAGAAGGAAAACTGCTTAATTGAGCCGTGTTTCCTCCTCAGACCAAAAGACCGTAGCGGTTCTAAGATTTCACAGAAAACAGGAACTAGATCTTTGCTGCAGTCAAGCTGTTTGCCACAAAGACAACTGCTCAACTTCTTTATAAAGAACAATTTTGCTACCTGCGAAAAAGTACAAAGCTCTCTTTCAGATACCCAGATGGGTTCCTAATGCAGAACTGAGATTAGAAACTACCCCCCCCAGAACAGAAATTTAAATCTGGCAAATAACTTGGCTACAGTTCAATCTGGTGACTGCAGAGTGGCTTCTCCTTACTGTATCAGACAGGGGCAGAACCTAGTGTTGGGGAAAGATTATAAACAAGTGGCATGTTGATGCATGATTCCTTGGGTAATTGTTAAGACCCAGTTTAGACTAAGGCAAGAAGATTATTAAAGCAGTGGACTGGGACATAAAGTTATAACATGAACTCAACCAAATCACCTGGCTGTGCAAGTCTGTCAGATAAAGTGTGATACTACTCTGTAAATAACCTGAAGTCATTTATCCTAAATATCACTGAGTCCTCTCCAGAGCCTATTTTAATGCCATCCCTTTCAATCTTAGATCTTCAAAGTAGCATCTTGCAAGTACTTACAAGTAATATCTTGCAATATTGTTTAAATATTTATTAGAATTATATGAGTGGGAAATAGACAGTAGTATATAAGATACAAATCTGTGATGAAAAGGTCTGGTTGTAGTTCCACAATGGACTGACACTAAAATACTACACTTTGCTTTTTCTTTTCTCTGAAACCGTTTGTTGGACAGTTTGTCACTCTAATATTTTCATACTGCAGTATGAATCTAGGGTGATTTTACAATAGGCTAACAGTTAAAATGTAAAACACACACATCATAAAAGTAGCATCAAATAGCAGGATTAAAACTGTATCTAATTACTGGGAAAAAGAAATGCCTTTTCCTTACCATCAAAAAGATATTTGGATCAGCATCAAGTTACCTTTCTCAGCAGAATGTTATATAATATCCATGATGCCACCGGCAAGTGTGACAAAATCTCTAACCATGTGCAAAATACTCTTAAGTAGTTGTAACTCCATGGATTTTAAATAAATCAGATAGCCATACATGGGTAGAAGAAAACACAAAGCTATTTATCCTTTAAGACATCGATCTAATTCTTCAAGGATATGGATATATGCTAACAAAATATGTCCAAAGTTGTATCAAGGATGAACTCTTTGTACCTTATTAATGAAGAAAGCATACCATTAAAAAAATCCTATAATCTCTGTAGGAGTCAAGATACTAAGGTATACAAAAGTCTGAAGAACTTCCTTGACAATGAAAATATACATTCCAGGACTTGATTTATGTAATGACTGGAAAATTCAGAGTCTAAATTTAAATTACTAAATATGAAATGAGACAGGCCAAAACTCACTGAAAAAAAAAATCAAATCAGTACATCAGACATAGTAACTCGTAGTAAAAAGATGAAATAGCAGCAAGCAAATAAAGCATAAGAGAAACTATTTTTCTGTTTAAAAAAAAGACAATTAATATAAATCTAAATGTAAGACCACCAAAGGTTTGGTCCAGTGTTCCATAAAATTGGTGCCATCACTACAGAGGCCCTGTTCCTGGTAAATATCAATCAAAACGCAGTTAACATAGGAATCTACAGCACGGTCTCAGAAGGTTAAATGAATCATACTGAAGGGTATGTATAGAAGTTGACAATCTATAGCAGTATTTATCAACCTTGGCAACTTTAAAATATATGGACTTCAACTCCCAGAATTCCCTAGCCAGAATTCTGGGAGTTGAAGTCCACACATCTTAAAGTTGCCAAGGTCGAGAAACCCTGGTCTATAGGATAGGCTACTGAGATCCCAGGCCATTTAGGATTCCAATAATGTAAAACAACACTTTAATTAAAGCCTGAAGACATTACTAATGAAGATTTAATAAAACCAGGGTAATAACCCACTTTCAATGCCTAAGCAGGAAACATTTTTCACTAAATGAAGTTTCTGAACATTTTTTATATGTAAAGGATTACCCTTCCTTCCCCAATCCTGATCTGAACTAAAATGTATTCCCTCAATGAAAGACCAGAGTTCTTGTTATGGCAAGAACCACTAATTGAAATATGGAGGAGAAGCCATTTTCATCAGGATTCCCTGCACTTTGGATTAAATTTTAAAATAACCCTTAACCACTGCTACTATGTATGTGTGGAAAAGCCAGCTGCATTAACCTCTGCAGCACTCACTATGCCAATAATGGAATCCTATGCATGTTTTACTTGGAAATAAGTCCAATTGTGTTTAATAGAACTTACATCCAACTAAGGAAGTGACTTTAATTTTATGCTTACTTAATGTGGATGGATGACCCATATTATACAGTGGGTCTTCCTCTAAAATAGCTCTTCAGAAATCAAGATGGCAAGATAACCCAGTTAAATGCTCACAAAAGAAGAAAGTGTATTATCATCAAGCATTTCATTAATTCTTCTCCATGATTATCTTGCTGCTACATCACTATCACCCAAGGAGTTTTTTACTAAACAGTTGTAGAACACTGTAATTCTTTTCTCTTCAAATGCAAGTTGCACCATTTAGTATCTTTTAAATCCAAGCCAAGAATAAAATAATGAAAATCAATATAAAACACAACAGGACTCAAAAAGGAAGAAAGCTTAAAACCCCTTATTTCATTAATAGAAGAGCTATCTTCTTGTGGGTTATCACCAGGGCACTTACTATACATAAGATGTTATCAGAGGTGAGTCCTCCAACCATTCTTGCTTCACCCGTATCAGTGTTTAACAGACAAAGTTAGCATCTAACCCAATAAAAGAAATCCAACCACTCACATTTATTTCAGTGCACAAATGCTGCCTTCTGGAGCTGCTGCCTAAGCAAATACTTGCAGGAGGAAGGCCAGGGAGAGAAAAAAAGCGCGTCACAACTTCCCACCCAAGCTGAGTGATTAGGTGAGTGAAGTTTCATGTACTTCTGCATTCCTCAGCCTGCCTAGGAATGTGGGAGGCTTCGCCAAACAGGCAATAAACAAAAGGCCAGGAAAGCAGGGCCGAAAGGGGAACTCGACTTTTCTGGACGTGCATCTGGTACTTCGAAGTGCAAAAGAAAAGGCACGCGGAGAAGCGAAACGTGCAACATCAACCGGTCTCGTGACTCGAAGAGTCCCGCACTTTCTGCGGGACGGGCAGAGGCCAACTTCAGAGGGCCAGAAAAACTGTCGCGGCCGCCCGCACCCGACCCCACTTCAGTCCGTCAAAACCCGGGCGCCAGGTCGCCACACTTCCAAGGAAACTTTCCAGCAACTCACCGCGAGGGAGCGAAGTCAACCAGCTGCTTTCCGCCGAAGTAGCGCGCTCTGGCCCATCAGGCCCCGAAGGAAGAGATTCGCTCGCTTGGGACATCTGCCAGCCCCCTCTCCTTTCCGCAAGGCTAGCGCGCGACCCTGAAGGCATAAAGAAATGGAGTCTTTCAAACGGGTGCCAGGCACCCAGACCCACCACCCACCTCTCACTCGTGGGTAGGCAAAAGACTGGGGAGGAGGGTTGCCGCCCCAAAGACCCACCGCCCCGGCAACTTAAGGGCAGGCGCGGGGTTTCCCACCGACTTCCTTCTCACCAAACGCGCAGAGCCAATACAAAGAAGCACCAAGCCGCCTAGGTGCCAGGCCCCTGTGGCGCTAAAAGAGACACTGAAAAGAACCATCGCCTCCCCAGAAAAGCCGATGTGAACCACCTTTACCGTGACATATCCTCGGGGACGTCTCACCCTTTCTCTTTCTCTCTCTCTCTCCCCTCCCCGGTTGGGAGGGAAAAACTTTGCGGAAGCGGTTCTTCGCTTTCTCCCACCCTGCCCGCGTCCGCCTCGCTGTGGCGGCTCTTGCAGCCCGCCTCCTCCTCCTCCTCTCAGGCAGCCTCTTGCAGGAGCCGGGTGGGCCCAGACGCAGCCTCCCGGATTGGAAAGTCTCTGCAACAACTTTTGCTGGAGACTAGCATTTCTCTTACCTCATCCCAAAATAACGTATGTAGAATCGGGAAGGGCTTTTTGGCTTCTTTCCTGGCTCCTTCCCTTGTCATTTCAGCCTAAGGGCCTGTTTCGTCTGTGGGGCAGCTGTAAAGAGAAGTGCTTGTGTGCATTTTATGCACTGTCCTGTCCAGAAGGCGGCCATGGCCCACTGCTTCTGCCTCCTTGCTTGTCCTCTCACTCCAGGATGCGGAGGAAGTGCAGCCCAACTATCTTTTCTTCCTAAAGAACAAGATGCTGATCAAGGCTACTCCCAGATGGACCAGTTCCTACCTTATTACAGAGGGCAGCCAAGTAAACCAAGGCCTAATCCACACAGCTACCTCATCCTTCATGGGAAGGGCTCATCTTCCACTTCTACAGCACATGTCTGCCAAATTACACCTCACCTGCGATCACTGATGTCCCATTATTGGCTGTTCCAATTCTTTAATCCATGAGCCATAGATATCCTTATGCTGACTTTTAAAATGTTATTTAGTTTTTGATGGGAAAAGGATTTAGACTTAATTTCAAACATCAAGCCCATCAAATATATTAATACCTTGAGTTTGGGGAGGATGGATATAAGCATTGCATCATATTCACAATTACATTAAACCCTCAGTTTCCTTTATCTTGGTTTAGGAGACACTGAATTCAACCAACAAAATGTTCATCCAAAGACACCCCCCAAATAAAAGACTTGTCTATTATTTGGTGAAGCATTCCAGACACTGCTTGCTGCTTCTCCTTAAAAATGGGTATGTGATTTCTTTACTCCCACTGTGGCTTCTGCCCTGACCAACTTACTTGCTGACAGAGCAATGTGAGAAAAAAGATCCCTTCAACTGTCTCTAAGGCTGGTGCTGAGAGTGATATCCCCTAGAGAGCTGTCTTTGTAGTTGGCTGGAGTGGACCTCCAGGAAGGAAGAGAAGGAGGGGGAACCCTCAAATCTAAAAAGCATTTGGATTTAAGAGTCTCCCCATCCTCCCAAACGATCTCTCCCCCACAAATTGAGGTTTTATTTGTACTAGAATGTTAGACAGTTGCTTCCAGCAACCTGAAAAATTACATCGGCCAAAAATTGGCCCTTTAATATTTACTCTGTTTTCAATCGGTAGGAATTTTTCAGTAGGAAAAGGGGGAAGGAATACAGGTAGTCCTTGACTTACGACCATTTGTTTAACAACCGTTTGAAGTTACAATGGCAGTGAAAAAAGTGACTTATGACTGGTCCTCACACTTATGACCATTACAGCATCCCTGCAGTCATGTGATCAAAATTTGGGCACAACCAGCATGTTTTTTTGACAGTTGCAGCATCCCAGGGTCATGTGATCATCATTTGCGACCTTCCCAGGGCGCTTCCAACAAAGTAAATGGGGGAAGCTGGATTTACTTAACAGCAGCAGTGATTTCTTATTGACCACAGTGATTTGCTTTTGCCTGTGGCAAAAAAGTTGGTAAAATCGGGCACGACTCACTTAACAACCACATTGTTTAGCAACAGAAGTTCCAGTCCCAATTGTGGTTGTAAGTTGAGGACTACATGTAGAATATATGTATATTCAGACATGAGTATCAGAGATGGCTATTTGCTTTGAGGATATGAATACTGCTAACATATTACCCACTAAGCCTCTTTCTGCTATCTACCTTTTAAGGGATCTATTGAGCTTGAGTTACAAACTGTATTCAACTTTGGTATCCTAAGGGAGTATGCATTTCTCATTTACTGCCTTGTCTGTAACTTGAATTCTTGAAAGGAAATTAAATTTGTAACTTAATTAAGTGCCTATTTGAACTCATTCCTTCATCATAGTAATACAGAAAAATAAATATAGGACAGAATAAAGAGCTATTTTGTCATTTCCATATAAATCTTACAATGTATCAAACCTGTATAACCATTTTCTGTGTTTCTGTTTTTATTTGCTGAATATATAGACTAAAGACAAAAGAAAAATGGGGAAAAGAGAAAAGATATTCTTCAATATTTTTACAGCTAGCCTAATGAAATCTCCTACTTTACATCATTGTGAAAATGGTGACCAAGCCTCTCAAACAAAATAACTGAGGACATTAGTATTAGCTAGAGCTAGTAGACAGATTATAGGCACAATCAAAGGATTTAAGCATATATTTTTAGATGATCATAACTACATTAAGATGACAAATGCAAGTTGGGAATTATGTTTACAATCCTACACTTTTAATAGAAAGTAAGTCATATTGTGCACTATCTTGTCTGAGTGTTATGAATCTTTTCAATTTGTGCAATCTGACGATGCAGAGAAAATAAGGCCTCAACAACAAAAGCAAAGAACTTATTGTGTTTATTAAAATGTGCATGGAATCAACTCTAGCCTGGAACAAAAAGGAATGTATCATGTTGCAAGGAACATGCAGTTAACATACCCATAACACAGAGAGGTTCAAGTTTTGATAAATACCTACTTCCTTCCTTCACAAGGTGTATTATTTGTTCCTTAAACTTTTTAAAACCTGATGTTTGAAATCAACCAGGGTTGGAATGAGTATTTCAGTCTCAAAGATTATCAGTGCTTGTCCGAGAAATGATTCAATTCTTGCAGTTTTGAAAGAAATTGGGGAGGGGGGGAGCCAAATTTAGATTTTACAACATGCTGAATGTCAAACTTGGAACGTAATGCTTCAGCAAAGTACTCAGTTATTTGGTGGCTTCTTAGTTCCAAATACTGCTTAATGGTTTTATTTAAATAAATAAAACCATTAAGCAGTATTTGGAACTAAGAAACCATCAGATAAATAAGTAAACATGTTACCTACTTTTCATTATCACTATAATAATCTCAGAGCAGTATCTAGATCTATTTAAGACTTTAAATTTAGATGTAGGAAGAAAAGCTCCCTGGTAACTCTGGTGATTTACATCAGGGGATGAGATGAGGGCAGTGCAATCCTACCAATTCTTCTGAATCTTTCAGTGTCTTCAGTACCAATGTTCCCTTCTGGACCACTTGTCTGAGCTGGGTTTAGAAGACAGAGTAGTTGCAGTTTCATGGTAGTATCACTTCAGAAGTTTCTACCATATGGCCATGAGCCTAGAAATAAGCAGAAATAAGCAACTTCGTTTTATGATATTTTCTTGAATATTTCTTTTAAGATTTAATCATGCTCTAGGATGCTTTTAGAGTTTCAAAATTGGAAACCACATGTTGACCTTCCTAGCCAATGTGTCCTGCATTATTCCATCATGTGCTTTTCAGCATCTACATAAAACTATTGGTGGAAGTCTTCTGAAGTTTAAGTTAAAAACATCAGTATGTTTATGTTACTCAATTTTCTCTGCAAGTACATTTGTAGTCCACTTCAAAGTGCTGGCACTTAGTTTTGAAGCTTTAAACCATTTGAAACTACATTATATGAAAGGCTGTATTTACCCGTCATAACTTGAATACTTTTTAAGATCAAATACAAAGGATCTTCTCTCTTGCCTTACTAAGTCTTTTACGTTGCCTAAGTTAGTAAAAATCAGAGGTCCTAGACTTATGGAATACAGTGCCATTTAGGATTCTTCAGATTTTTCCAAATGGTTAAATATTCATGAGTCTTATTATCAAAACCAATCTACATCTCAATATGGCCTAAAGATTTGTCACCACCAGCACTCCTGGAAATAAAACACCTTTTCTACTATATGCTGTTCCAAGAACTTGCCACGAATACAAAGGGAATAAATAATGACTTTCCAAAATAGTCCATAAAGGAATTTGTTCCACTAAATTTTCATTCCACATACTTATGGCTGATAAAATATAATCCCAATGATATTTTGCAAATGACCTAAATTAAAGAGATTCCTCAAATAGTAATCTCAATTAAGCAAATGAAAGCCTTGGTGGGCTACTACTCCCAAATTTCTCTCTATTTCCTAAATAACTTATCAATCTAGTGAAAATATTTATTTAGTATTTACACTGGGATGCTTCTAAGGACATAAATCAAATGGAGGACAATATTTGTTATATTAACATTAATTTTACCCCACAGACATAATGGGATCTAAATCCATCTATTTATATCCAATTCAATCTTCTCTAAAACTTTCAACATATTTATTTCCAAATGTTTAGAAATATTTTGGGGAATATAACATCCCAAGTATTTAATATAGTCAGTGGAAATCACAGTACCCAACTCTTTATATAACTATGTTGATACGTTAGACCCTAAGGGAAGTGAATAAGATTTGTCCCAGTAATTTAATAACCAAAGTACTTTCCAAAATACTGTACTACCTGTATAAAATTAGGCAGAGAAGCAGAGTACTTACTCAAAATTGCCAAAATACCATTGGCATATAAAAATAATTTGTGCTCACATCCCACCCAAATAATACCCATAATGTCCAAAGATTACAGCATTAGCTAAAAGTTCAAGGATCAAATTAAATAGCAAGAATAAAAGCAAACAGCCCTGCTGAGAGCCATATTGTAACTCAATAGACTGAAATATTACCTTTTAGCAATTATTAATAAGTACAACAACCAGTTTTACAATTTGTTTTCAGATTAGGAGCATTACAGACTAAATTCTAGCTATGAGTAATGCTCACCTACCTAAAGCACCATCATAGATTACACACGCAGACACACACAGACACACACATGAGAGAGAGAGAAATAGGTATAAAGAGATTCTGACTAACCTTTGTTTATAAGTAGATTTCCAGCAAAGTAGATTGAATGGCATCAGCATGAAATTGCTGGTGGAAGAGGAAGCACATGAGGAAAGTACCAATCAGCAAATAGTAATATCAGCTGAACAAAAAGTGCTCTGAGATGTACAGAGTAAACAAACTGAATAAATGGAAACAATTTTAT